ATATATATAGCTCAATACAATGGGAAGTGTGAACCTGATTATACTGTGCGACGCGCGATGCAGTATGGAATTAGTTATACTTTGTGTATGCATTAAGATTTGATGGACGGGTACTGCATTAATGTACAGTCACTAAATAGGAGAACGATTACAGTTCTCGTCCAAATCCTTTATTCTAACAAGAACCTGACCGCAATCAGCGGATAAAGTGAAGTAGAGGCCCATTGACTTTGATCAACTATTCCCTTACCATTTTATCCAACAAACAGCAGAAGTGTATGTTTCCAATCATTTTTCCACAGTCACACCTCCTGTAAACATCGGATTGGATTCATCTATCAACAGGTCCTTTGGTATATAGCATCCTCTTCACTAAAGAATTTCATGTCACTGAAAGACTGGTGTAATGGGTTTGATCTGGCTCAAAGCTGCATGAAGTATCGCACAAAAGGGGAGAAACCAAACACACATTGAAGCTCCTTTTCATTCTTGTTTCACACGATTATGGAATTCCTTTTTGTTCCCTCAAGCTTTCAGTTTGCAGTGCTAGTGAATGATAAAAATAGAAACAATCTCGCCATTAAAACCGATTTCGAGCCATCATTCGGCGTAGCTACCAAAAAACATTCCCGGCTTCTCACCGGGTACCTAAACCTCTGCGCCTAATCTCAGCATTACTTGTCCAGTTTCCCCACCAAAGTCGTGTAATGCGACGCAGACAGTGACGTTCGATTATCGACAATCTTTTTTATCTCGTTCCGTAATAGCCAAGTATCTGCGCCGTACAACAACACTGGCTGAACTGCTGCAACATACACTCGATCCTTCACAGATAGCCGGATATCGCAAACGGCGCCACAAATGTCTCAAGTTGGCAAATGCCAATCGAGCCTTTTGTATGCGCGCCGACACTTCACCTGTGATGCTTCCGACAGGTGAGATACAGCTGTCTAGATAGCAAAATTTGTCCACTTCCTCTACTACTTCCCCAGTTAGGGTGAGACTGGGTGCTGGATCAACCCAATCTTGTAGTAGCGTTTTACACTTTGAAGGTGCAAAACACATACCAAACATAACTACACTAACACTGACTAACTATTCAGAGAAGCTTGCAACTCAGCTGGATCTCCACTTAGCAGTACAATGCCACCTACATACTCCAGATCAGACAGTCGACTGCCTGGGAGCAAATCCAAGGAAATTTTCCTCGCACGAGGACAATCAAATCTATAAGGTAGGTAAATAGAAAGGAGATAGAGAGCAATACTGGTCAACAGCACATTCTGTGGTGAGCTCGCGCGAAAAGGTGCCACAAGGATGAAGCGTTCATTGCAACAAAAAATGAGCTAAAAGGTACTATGGAACTTACTTTACTGAATTGGGTCTAGGGACGTATGACATGGATTTGATGGCAGCAATAGTCTTGCTCGGTATCGTTGGAATATTTTCTTTGGTCCAATCAGTTTTGATGTTGTTCCGAAGGATGTATTCCAACTTTTCCTTCAGTATTCGTTCCATCTGATCTTTCTCTTCCTTTGTGTCAACACTACAGAACGCTCTTTGCACATAATCTCTAGAAATTTGAAAGAAAACCGGGGAATTTTGTTGCGTAGAATTATTTATCTTGCTGCAGATATTTCTCAAGACATATACAATGAAACTGTAGACGGTGCTCGTCTGCTATTGTTGTTCATCAAGGAAATTAAACAAGTGAGATCGAGTGTGAATAGGGATATTATTAGCTCAATCAATCTCACTCAAGTCACTGTGACGTGGTTGATTGGTTGGCGTGGAGATTTGGCTGGCAGGCGGTTCTGCCGTCGGCTGGGTCGGTACCACCACCTAGCCATCGGGGCCTCATGTGGTTCGCCACTCCAAATATCAGGGCTAGGTTGCCAGCTACCCTTCATTTCACTAACTAACAGGATTAATTCTCAAGTGCACTCTCACTCGACAATCACATTCACTGACATTCGTGGCTTTAATCACAATCATGAGTCTCTACGTTAATTTCTTCAGTCCACTTTCTATATTGCTCTATTTTTAACCGAAACAACCTTCTTCTACAGACACTAATCATCTTCGGTTTCCCATTTCTCTCTTCAATCTTCATTCACTCCCAAAGCTGGTGTTTGTGCTCTTATTTGCAACATTATTCCACTGAAATTTTAAATTTTCTTTTTGATCCTACTTCCAAATTTTCCTGCATTTCTCCAAATGCTCATCTAAATGAGCAGCCAAAAGACAGCAACCAAAACCTGCGCACGATAATGCATGGTTATTGGCTGCACAAACTGAACAGAACCTCACCCCATTCTCCCACTCAAATCTCACCAACCGCGAAATCCAAACTATGTGGCTGAAACTTCGGTTTCCTTCTTTCAATCACTACTTCTGCACTGTGTACCATTCCTCAGATAGTAGTAGCCCTTCACTCTTTGATGCTTTATCAGCAAACACAGATAGCATTGTTGAAGTAGACCCCAGCGCTCAGTTCACAATTTTGGGTGATTTCAATGTCCACAACAGGGATTGGCTGCTACACTCTTCGGGAACATCACCCCTTGGACGTGAAGCACAATCATTTGCCCTATTGAACAGCCTCCACCAACTGGTTGATTTCCCGACCCGTATCCCCCGACCGTGCTGGCGACCACGCTCATGAAGGAAAACAGGAAGGTTGAAAGTAGGATCGTAACGACCTATATGACCGTGTCCGTTGGTTAAGGACTTCATACCTTCATGCCAGGTCACCCACTACCTACCTCGTCAAGCATCGCGCGCCATGGTAATCTACTTTGGGGCATGCACCAACCAAGGTAATTTATGGAGCATTGCCGTCGATTGTCCGCTATTGCCTATTTAATGAGCTTAGACTTATTCAAGTGCGGTCACCGCCTGTTCGTAACCCGCGGACAGGTTCAGTGGCATATCAATCTACTTCCAATCCAGCTGGGGCTGAACACATCTGCGCCGTCAAAAGCCGACGACTGTATTTTAAACGCTCCATTCTACACAGTTTGCATCCGCATAAATGGCAATGCTAAATGCTGAGCGCTGCCGAGGGCAGCATAATTTCGGAATTGCTTCAATAGTGTATGCAGGTTTACTAAGATAAATACGCCTTCCGAAAGTCCAAACTATTATTGTCATGGGCCACAAGATTGAATGAAATCGCATTTTCGTACTCAGGTAACTATGACATACGTCTCGTTGAACTTTATGCTAGATTAGTCATTTCTACATTGAAATGAGGGCCGAGTCTATTGTAGGAGCTCCGCTCTGTGTATATAGTAGCGTGAAGTACTTCGGCCGTGAGATCGAGAGACTCTTTCAAAGTTTGTAATGTTGAAGTGATGATTTTCTGAGTTAAACGGAAGATTTAATTTGGATAATTCTATCCTGCAATTTAGAAACCCATATATTGGGGTGCTGGGAGTGAGTTCAGGCGCCAATCATTTCGCGGTGTTGGGACAGACTAGAACCATTTCATCGACGATGATCAAGAAAGAAGCAGAATGAAACAGGGCACTGTGTCAGGTTTTTTTATTGCACACATTTGTGTGCTGGATAAGGCGTGGTACTGAACCGGTTGTCGACTTCTGTCGCAAAAGTACCTAAATGTGAATCTCACTGACTAGATTCCTAACATCTGATTTTATCAGGTTTCATGAATGGGAGTTCGGTATGGATGATATCCTCGACATATATCGGTATTTTTGTTCAATTTAACTTGACTAGCTAACTAGCTGCATTACAGCGACCAAAATATGGCCTATGGGATAAAAATACAAAATAAACTCAACATTTCACCTAATCACCCTGACGGCTGAATACGGTCATACCATAATCATCATCGCCAACAGGGTACAGTGAAATGCAGTGAAGCTACCTTCACTGATCGCAGCCAAACTCACAGCATACACAATTAGCGAACGAATGTTTAAGAGGGAAAAGGAAGATGTACTTCTGCGATCAACACAGTGCACCCTTCAGTTACCAACCAACCAGTTATCAGGTATTCTGAATTCCAGCCTGGGATGCGAGGGACACCTACTTCACTTAACCATGGTAATGAATGTACAGTTTAGTGAGCCACGGAAGTTAGCAAACTAATCCGAGGTAACGATAAATGAAGAAAAAATCCTTAGAAATGTTGAAGTAAAACAAGCAAACAATTATTACAAACTGAACATCGTGAACATTGGAATATACATGGAGTCAACAATTGAAAGAACACTTACTTCAAGTCTTCACTCCATTTTTCCTTTATACTTTTCGATTTGAAACTCTCTGGAGGAGTTTGGAGAGGTTGTTCTGCAACCTCCTCAGGAACCGATTCGGGGATGTCGCCAGATGGCTTTTCACCTGAGAGAGCGGTAGCTGAAGATTACGAAGTAGTGCAGCCTAAACATGTGGTTCCAGCTTTTTGGGCGCTTAATATTACGTAAGGTTTAGAAGCAGGAAATTGCGTTTCAAAATATCGACATGAAATCGATGATGATAATTCAAGCAAAACCATCAACATCCAGGACCAACGAGGGTTTACACCGAGCAGACACAATACAGATGAAGGTTTCAAAACATAGATTGTATTTTGCAACTTACCCTACTGCAAATATTACTACCGCTGAGTTTATTGGCGATTCGAGTTAAGGATGTACCACGGTCCAAAAACGAGGTGAATTTAATCCCGATAGGCAGTGTCAGTCAGTAATTCATGTTTCTTTTATTGCACACTCGTGTGATGAACAGATAGGGCAAACCTCACAGTAACGACCTGTTGTTCACTCGTGAAAACCGGTGACTTCAGCCCCGGAACTTGGATTGACTAACCACGTACAGTCACAATTGGTTAGGCATTGTAGTGCATCGGACGATAGCGAAACTGTACCGCGATACTTTGGACCGCACGCCTTTCCAAGAAGTCGCTTGCTCAAGCTGACATGGCAGAGAGAGAATTCTCAGGACAGTGTGCTTTTTGTTAACTAACGCACTGCCAAGAAGAGGAACACCTGAATATATATATATATATATATATATATATATATAATAGAATCCATGACCGGTACTGAGTTGTCCCGAGGACTGCTTAAAGCCCCTAGAAAAGTATCTTCGTTAGCATGCGGTGCGAAAATGTCACGCAGCAGGACATATATGACCGATTCACTGCAATGAATTGCATAGATAAAACTGGACCATTGGGTAGTGAGGAGCTTTTTACTTTAGTCTTCGGAGAACTAATGAAAAAGAACATCTAGCAACCCGGCAATATTCGGCCCACATCAAAATCGTGGAACATTTTTCCTTTTATTAAGATTATTGCACCACGACTTTTTTGACGGTCTGAACTTAGAAATGCGTGAAATAAAACTATAAAATTGTGTTGTCGGGGGTAATCACAGACAAGAAGGCATCTACAGTGAGGGAAATTATCTCACCGGTGGAACCCGTCGACTGTACTGGTGCTCCTGAAGTTGGTGTCGGGATCATTGGGTACCCCCAGTTTTGAGACATTAGACCTGGGACACCCCTGGCAGTTGGTTGATATTGTGGATAACCGTAACCGGATACATTCCACCCGTAAGGATTTGGGTTAGGATAAACTGGAGGGGCATAGCCCGAGTAAACCCCACCGGATGGCGTGCCAGGACGTTGAGAAGCGTACCCATATGTATACGGTTGACTATATGCTGTGGTATCCCGGCAAGATGTGTTTATGTTATACTGCCAAGATGAATCTGGAGCAACTGTGGCAGAAGTATTACTTTGTGCCTCCTTAGATTCGACACCGGGGGGCGGAGGGTTGGACGCTTGACTGTTTGTGACAGGTGCGACTGCTCTATGATTGTAATCGTAGGTCTAAAAGAGTAAACAAAGCAAAAGCAGAACTTACCTGGGCAGCCGCTGGATAGTTAGGGTCCCCGTATGTACCGTAACCACCTGGCTGCCAGTAACCGTTATAGGGATTCCAGGGTTGCATTAGCGGATCCTGGAAGGAGAATCAATCAATGTTTAACTGAGCAGGGAAACCACGTTATCCAATAACGACTGTCTGAAAACAAAACGAAAATGATAAAAAAAACTAGCTCATGAAACGCCATTAAATTGACATTGCCAATTACATACTGTTGTGGCTCATGCCAGTCCTAGAGATAAGTCAGCGTTGTGGAACACAGTGGCATCCCCGGAATCGCTCATCATTTCTCTTCGGTGATGGGTCGCTCCACCTAGTATAGCCAAGTGCTACCTGTATAGCGATAGCAATGTTGGCAAGCCTACAAGCAGACCAGATTCGCACACATTGCAATGCTCTCTATGGATATTTTTTCATCGTGGAGATAGCTTGTCATTCGAAAACCTGTTACGACCTCGAGCATCAGCACTGATAGCCTGCACTCAATTATTCAATGAGGCAATGTCCAGCTACTCACCGTTAACCATGCCAAAAGCCTTCCTTTTATCGATCACCTAGAGACGTAGTGGGTGGGGAAAAGGTCTGGCAGGTTATGTTGAAACATTACCGCACAGCGTAATAGTGAAGCGAACTTCACTGATTGCTGCCACCTTTAATGCGTACAAAGTGAGAATGTGTAGGATGGATAGAGGTTGGGTCGATTTATAGGGACGGAAAAAGAAAGTGAACCTCTGTGGTCATTACATAGTACACAGTACACCCATGCATACAGACTACTTCAAGTATTCCAGCCTGACAAGAAGTGACAGCAAGATCGGCACTGCTGATGAGGACGATTCATCAAGTTCGCTTCATTGTATTTCGCAGTACGATGATTTCGGTTTGCTGCGAAAACCTTCAGCGTCTTCAATCATCCAGTTAATGAGTCTTTGGATACCAACCAGGAGTACCAAATACCTGCTCTACCTGTTCGCTCTGTGCATTTCTTCATGCCTCGTCTTCAAGTGGCTTTCTCCTGTCTGTAGCAGCCATCGCAAATAAGACGCGGTGCGGTGCGACCGTTAGGTATACGCAACACGTGTCCCAAACAACGGAGCCTATTGAGTTGAATTCAATGTTTGAAAACAGAAAAGGTGAAAACGAAATTGTTTCTGACTGCTATTAGTTCGGAAGAACTATGGGAATACGTATCAAAAGATTTCCATTGCGATTGTTTACCGTACCTGAACAAGCAATGAACTGTGTGCGGAAAAGTTTTGAAACTGTCAAGAATGAAACGTCCTTTGGAGAATCACGCGCCCAAATCGCACTGCATACCCATATAGTAACTAATAAATCGTCTGACACGCTTATTCAACCGTGTGATTCTGGCTAACCTGTTCGACCAAATGCTAACTTTGTATCGTGCAGTACACTAAATGGTCAACGAAGAACGTCTTAGCAGTTGCTATCGGTACTCCTTTATGGTATAGAACGGTGGTAACGCATCCGAGTTGAATATAATTCCATGTCCCTTTGGACAACGATGCCGTTTTCAGAAAAACGCCAGTAAGCAAATTTTATGTGAACACTGAACACCTCTGCACAACCCCGTCCTATTACTGGCCGTACCGGAAATTGTTCATAACTATCTAATGGGAGGTGGCTGTATGGTATAAAATACGGACTGAGTACGCAGAGCTCCCAACCTCATTCCAACTCAGGAAGTAAACAATTTTTGCGATCTGTATGGCTATATCTTCTCTGTCGGACGCAGAACGGAAGAAGTGTTCGCACGCATACAGGAGGCTCTGTGAAGAACCGAGTATATCCTGCAGCAGTTAGACCAGTCTTAAGACTGCTACAGCAATTGCTCTACGGTACTCAGAACTGGATGTACCGGTTCCTCAACGGAGTTTCGCAACGGCAGTTTTCTTTTCTTGCCTCGACTTTCTCCAAGTTTACTGGTGGGTCCATTCAAGCTGGATGTGATCACCAAAACATAGACCAGAAGCATCTTTACCTTAAACTGGTGTGACTAGCAGCAGGACAGATTCAGTCTCCAACCAGTCCTGTGTAATTGAGGACTATCAGGACATGGCTGCATAACCACGGCACACTTGATGGAACCATCAAGGTTCAAATTTCAAGCAGGGACATAGCCCCTCGATTAGTACAAAAGCTAGACACCGTTAATATATTTCTTCTAACATAAGGACCCTTTTCGCACGAAAAACGCCCAACAAGTCGCATTTTTCTACGTGGGCAACCTCCAAGGGCTGTTTTTCATATAATTGTATAGCATTGATTACCGGTAGGTAAAGGAATTATTTCGCAGCGCGGTGAAATGTTAGTAACTGGTAAGCAGTTTGAAAAACGGTGGGAACGTTAAGTATGAAATGACCCGGGTCCGAGGTGAAATTGCATGTAAAAGACCTAGGTAACCGAGGCTTTTTCGTGCGTTTGACGAGCTTTCTTGCGATCGAGCAAAAACAAGACCCGAAATTTTGTAAAGTTAAGGCTATCTGGATACCGATTTCCACCCAAAACATGCATAATTCGCGCATTCTACGTGGGTTTTTCTATGCATTTTGCTAGGATACCAAGATGCAGCTTGTCCTTAGGCAATAGAATATGAACAAAAAACTCAAATTCAGTTGATAGTTATAGATATCCCAAAAACTCATCAATCAGACAGACAAACGACGCGCACTAAGATGTTCACCGGTATACTGACTCGCCTGGGAAGTTTAGGACGCCAACCGAAAGTGGAACAGGTTTAAACAAAGTTGGGTCATGTCAGGTCAGGTAACACAGATCCGATGATGACCACCACCAATCGAGCGTGCAAGTTTATTTCTACCATATTCTCCCAATTTGCGCACACAACGTTGGCAAATAACTCCGGATAAGAAGTCACACGTAATGGTAACCGCACGGTTTCAATTGATAAAGTGTGGAGGAGATAGTCAATAAATGCCCACACTGTAATGTGTTTAATCCTAAACAACTAACTACACGTCTATCATATCAGATCACAGAACTTTACGCTTCCGCCAGTGAACGTCCAGGTTCTTGTACTTGTGGGCTGATGGCCTCCTACTGCGCTACGACTGCCAGGTAGTTCCACAGTTGCGTGTTGGATGTTGTACCTACAAGAGAGGAAACTAAGAGCAGGATCACCCTCAGGAACTCAGCAGTCTCAATCTTTGACAGATGCCGTACATCTGCGGACTGCTACGCCTGACACGAGAGTTTCCCAGGGGCTGTAAATTGTTAAAGTATTTGTGCGTGAGGTGTATAGTGACAAGGAATGACGGTAAGTAAATAAACAGCTACATGAGGGGAGTGATGGTTTGTGTCTTTGGGACTAGCGCTAGTCATACTCGGGGAACGCGTCCCAGCACCCTGTCCGCACGGCGGGACGGTTGACTGTCCTAGTCGAGTCCCGCCGAGACTCCTCCGTTCACCAACGTCCCATTGGAGTCCCGTCGGAACTCTATATATTTAATTTTTATGTGATACGAAAATTGAACTAAATGAATTACCGGACTGACAAATTAAATTCTAAAAACCATCAAAATTGTGTATTTTAATACCCGTTAAATCAGCTAGCAGTTTGTTTGAATTAATTATTTTACATGCCTATTCAGCGGTATTCGCCATCATTCGCCATGTCAATTTTCAATCCCTGTAGTCATTCCAAGTGATCAATACGAAGACGTCTTGATTCAAATTTACCAACAACGTTTACATTAGGCACTGAACAACAGACTGCAGAGTGTGGAACTAGATCACTTGTAAATCATTCGGCTCAGTTTTATGGCAATATTCATCATTTCGTGCCTTATTTACAATAATCAACCTATTGCTTTCCCACGACGAAACTTCCGTCCATAAACGCCAGTAAAAGGGGGCGCAATTTGCGAAACAGTCTGACGACAATAAGTTCAGTTCATAGGGGCGGCTGCAGTGCACGTTAGTTTAGCGACTCGATGGTTGCTCATGTTCGTCAGAACCTGTCACTAATGTTTACTCACGTCCGTTTTGAATATTCGTCCCAAAGGCAAACAAAACCAGAGATTACGTTTATTGAAAACGATATATTCTGAGATCTTCAGAAAGGTTGGAAGTACATTTAGCTAGGCCTAGGCTGATACTTAAGCAACGGCAGCAGAAACCTGAAAGTAGATCTGATCAATGCAACGAAAGCGTGCGATACAGAGCCCACCGTGGGGAATTGTGTCGGTGCACGCTTTCCGAGTTCATTAAAAGAACGCTAATAGTTGAAGTAAAACTTAATCCTGGAAGTGTCCAAGTTGCTTTATCCAATAGAGAAACTTTCTTCAGAGGATAGCTATCGCCAACTAATGGCGATGACTGCTAAATCTCGACGGTACACTTGATTGTGTCCGGTGGGTAAGGGTCCTTAAGGGAAGAAGGGAAAAACCTGACGGTAGTTTAACTACCTGATCGATAAGCTAAGTCGCTACTTNGTTCATTAAAAGAACGCTAATAGTTGAAGTAAAACTTAATCCTGGAAGTGTCCAAGTTGCTTTATCCAATAGAGAAACTTTCTTCAGAGGATAGCTATCGCCAACTAATGGCGATGACTGCTAAATCTCGACGGTACACTTGATTGTGTCCGGTGGGTAAGGGTCCTTAAGGGAAGAAGGGAAAAACCTGACGGTAGTTTAACTACCTGATCGATAAGCTAAGTCGCTACTTGATTTCTGAACCTTAATGGTTCTGATAGGTATTACATGGTTATGTGTCATGCCTTGATAGTCCTCAATTATACAGGACTGGTTAGAAACTGAACCTACCCTGCTGCTAGTCACCAGCGTAGGATGAAAGTACTTCTGGTACGTGATTTGATGATCACGCCCAGCTTGAATGGATCTGTCAAGAAACTTAGAGAAAAACAAGAGTTAAGAAGAGAAAACTGCCGTTGCGAAACTGTCGGTTGAAGAACCGCTACAAGTGATCTACAATGTGTACGAAATGCAAATGCCACGGACGTGTATGTGCGAGAATCCTTAAAGGACAGATTTAACTTCCATGCGATCAACGTAATTCTTCCTTCC